TGCCACACACATACAAAGATCAATGTGACAGCAATGCCACACACATACAAAGATCAATGTGACAGCAATGCCACACACATACAAAGATCAATGTGACAGCAATGCCACACACATACAAAGATCAATGTGACAGCAATGCCACACACATACAAAGATCAATGTGACAGCAATGCCACACACATACAAAGATCAATGTGACAGCAATGCCACACACATACAAAGATCAATGTGACAGCAATGCCACACACATACAAAGATCAATGTGACAGCAATGCCACACACATACAAAGATCAATGTGACAGCAATGCCACACACATACAAAGATCAATGTGACAGCAATGCCACACACATACAAAGATCAATGTGACAGCAATGCCACACACATACAAAGATCAATGTGACAGCAATGCCACACACATACAAAGATCAATGTGACAGCAATGCCACACACATACAAAGATCAATGTGACAGCAATGCCACACACATACAAAGATCAATGTGACAGCAATGCCACACACATACAAAGATCAATGTGACAGCAATGCCACACACATACAAAGATCAATGTGACAGCAATGCCACACACATACAAAGATCAATGTGACAGCAATGCCACACACACACAAAGATCAATGTGACAGCAATTCCACAAACATACAAAGATCATCAATGTGACAGCAATGCTATACACATTCAAAGATCCATGTGACAGCAATGACACACATACAAAGATCAATGTAACAGCAATGCCACACACATACAAAGATCAATGTGACAGCAATGCCACACACATACAAAGATCAATGTGACAGCAATGCCACACACATACAAAGATCAATGTGACAGCAATGCACCACACATACAAAGATCTATGCGACATCAATGCTACACTCATACAAAGATCAATGTGACAGCAATGCTAGACACATACAAAGATCAATGTGACAGCAATGCCACACACATGCAAAGATCTATGCGACAGCAATGCTACACACATACAAAGATCAATGTGACAGCAATGCTACAACACATACAAAGATCAATGTGACAATAATGCGATACACGGAGCCAGCTGATTGAAGTTAGCAATTAGGCTAGTTGTTACCAATGACAATTGTAGCATCCTGACATAATATCCTGACATTTGCATCCTGACATAGCATCCTAACATAGCATCCTGACATAGCATCCTGAAATAGCATCCTGACATAGCGTCTTAACATAGTATCCTGACATAACATCCTGACATATCATACTTATATAGCATCCTGATATAGCATCCTTCCATAGCATCCTAACATAGCCTTCTGATATTGCATCCTAATATAGCATCCTGACATAACATCCTGACATAGCATTCTGACATAGTATCCTGACATAGCCTCCTGACATAATATCCTGACATAGCATGCTGACATAGCATGCTGACATAGCATGCTGACATAGCATGCTGACATAGCATGCTGACATAGCATACTGGCATAGCATCCTGACATAACATCCTGACATAACATCCTGACATAGCATCCATAAATAGCATCCTGACATAACATCCTGACATAACATCCTGACATAGCCTCATGACATAGCATCCTCACATAGCCTCCTGACATAACATCCTGACATAGCATCCTCACATAGCCTTCTAACATAACATCCTGTCATAACAACCTGACATAGCATCTTGACATAACATCCTGGCATAACATCCTGACATAGCATCCTGACATAACATCCTGACATAGCATCCTGACATAACATCCTGACAAAACATCCTGACATAACATCCTGACATAGCATCGTGACATAACATCCTGACAAAACATCCTGACATAGCCTCATGACATAGCATGCTCACATAGCCTTCTGACATCGCATCCTGACATATCATCCTGACATAGCATCCTGACATAACATCCTGACATAGCTTAGTAACATAGCATCCTGACATAGCATCCTGACATAGCATCCTGACATAGCATCTTGACATAACATCCTGGCATAACATCTTAACATAGCATCCTGACATAGCATCCTGACATAGCATCTTAACATATTATCCTGACATAAGACCTTCCATAGCATCCTGACATAGCATCCTAACATAGCCTCCTGATATATCATCCTAAATAAATATCCTGACATAACATCCTGACATAGCATCCTGACATAGCAACCTGATATAGCATCCTAAAATAGTATCCTGACATAGCATCCTGACATAGCATCTTAACATATTATCCTGACATAACATCCTTCCATAGCATCCTGACATAGCATCCTAACATAGCCTCCTGATATAGCATCCTAAAATAGTATCCTGACATAGCATCGTAACACAGCATCCTGACATAGCATCCTGACATAGCAACCTGACATAGCATCCTGACATAGCATCCTGACATAGCATCCTGACATAGCATCCTGACTTAGCATCCTGAAATAGCATCCTGACATAGCCTCCTGACATAGCATCCTGACATAGCAACCATATATAGCATCCTGACATAGCCTCCTGACATAGTATCCTGACATAGCATCCTGACATAGCATCTTAACATATTATCCAGACATAACATCCTGACATAGCATCCTGACATAGCATCCTAACATAGCCTCCTGATATAGCATCCTAAAATAGTATCCTGACATGGCATCGTAACACAGCATCCTGACATAGCATCCTGACATAGCAACCTGACATAGCATCCTGACATAGCATCCTGACATAGCATCCTGACATAGCATCCTGACTTAGCATCCTGAAATAGCATCCTGACATAGCCTCCTGACATAGCATCCTGACATAGCCTCCTGATATAGCATCCTGATATAGCATCCTAACATAGCCTCCTGACATAGATCCTGACATAGCCTCCTGACATAGCATCCTGATATAGCATCCTAACATAGCCTCCTGACATAGATCCTGACATAGCCTCCTGACATAGCCTCCTGACATAGCATCCTGACATAGCCTTCTGACATAGCCTCCTGACATAGCCTCCTGACATAGCATCCTGACATAGCATCCTGACATAGCATCCTGACATAGCATCCTGACATAGCCTCTTGACATAGCCTCCTGACATAGCATCCTGACATAGCATCCTGACATATCATGCTGACATAGCATCCTGACATAGCATCCTGACATAGCCTCCTGACATAGCATCCTGACATAGCATCAGGACATAGCATCCTGACGTAGCATCCTGACATAGCATCCTGACATAGCCTTTTGACATAACATCCTGACATAGCATCCTGACATAGCATCCTGATATAGACTCCTGACATAGCATCCTGACATAGCATCCTGACATAGCATCCTGACATAGCATCCTGACATGTCTCATGCATAGAAACTGTCCTCCTAGGTTTTTATTCCATTTCATTAAAAGATGACAAACCTAAGTAGCCCTTCAATTAGAATGGCGATAGGAACAAAACGTTCTCCCTCTTCAGACACCCAATAGGGTTTGTCATTTCTATGACCGGAAAACGTCACAGCACTCTACGTCATGTTACTATTTTTAGACAATGTTTTCGTAAAACATAGCTTCGAACAAAGTATAGCAGTAAAATCTATCTTAAAATAAAGTTGTAAGCATGTTTTCGTCTCGCTTGATACCCACATAGCTGGCTCACATTGACGAAGAAGTACCGAACAGCTGTTGGGAGCTTTGCCCAACGGAATACCAGGATGTTATATTAATATCTTAATCATTTTGGCCAGATTGTAAGCTTGGATGTTCTATTAATAGATTTCCGCCATTAAATGACAAATCCAATTCCGATATTTGCCATATTTGCACACTTATTTGTTCAACGTCTCTCTATTTGCAGCGAGGCTCGATCCGATGTACCCTTTGAAGTTGGATATGTTTTTTGCAAGTTTGCCTACTTAGACAATGTTTTTCTCTCGTTCAATAATAAATTGCGAGACCGGATATGAGCGCACACATGAATGCGCATGCGAAGAGATACCGACAAAATAAGCAGCCAAAATGGCACAGAGTCAAAATCGTACTGATGGAGAACTTGTTTGTACATTTTGGACCTAAGCCATGAACATGAAGGTAGTGAGAACATCAATGGTGGCCGTGAGGATGAAATTCCTGTTCCATCACCTGCAAGATCAAGACTTTATCCCAATGTAAACAAATTGACAAGTTTCTGTTCTCAACTTCACATTTTGTACCTGCCAAGTTTGAATCATCAGATTCTAATCTAAATGGTAGGTCGTATATGGTGGAAAACCAAATCAGCCCGCAAGGCTTTTTTTTTTTTAATGTTAGCTATGGCACCAATAAGGTACCAGGCACATGCCAAAGCTGTGGATATGCTTCATCAAGAACTGCACCAACTTCAGCTGATTGTTCATCATCCAGTCAAAGCACTCTTCCGACCTTTCCAACCCCTAAAAACAATGGTAGCATCTTGACATAGCATCCTGACATAGCACCTTGACATAGCATCCTGCATTGAAATAATACCGTACTCCAAGGTTTTTATTCATTTTCATTAAAAGATGACAGTCAATCAAAAGTCACCCTTCAATAATATTATAACCGACACAGGAGAACAAATCTACCCGTCTTCAGACACATTTATTCCGCAATTTGCCATCTTTGCCTCTTCCTTATTCAGTTTTTCTCTATTTGCAGCGAAGCTCGGTCAGATGTATCAAAAGGACATCCAAGCAGTCAAGATTTATCATGACATCGAAATGCTTTGAAGTATTATTTGATTTATCTTTGAAGTTGGAGACATCAGCATGTTCGCCTACTTGGATCATTTATTTGCCACTTTCAATAATACAACTGCGAGACCGGATATGAGCGCACACATTAATGCGCATGCGTAGAGATACCGGCGAAGTGAGCAGAAAAAATGGCCCAATATGAAAACCTTACAGATGCGCACATTCTAGCCGAGTTACGACAGTTTGGGGAAAAGTTGACGGGTCCCATCAAATATAAAAAACGCGAAATTCTGTTGAAAAAGATCAATCACTATAGAGCAAGGAGCAAAGCAAATAAACTATCCCCTTCTAAAGGTAAAACTAAATATGATTCAAAGCAAGACCAATCATCGTCGCCGTTGCATCTCAAAATCCCAAAAAACAGACATTTACCACCGCCGAGTGCGTCTTTGGCACCACCATCCAGAGCTTCTCTTTCGTTTGCACTAGACCCACGACCTGGTAGCTATAATTTTGAAACTTTAAGTTCAGATGACGACAGTGATGCTGAAACTGTTCATAGTTTATTTTCCCAAGATTTACAAGCAAGCTCAAATGAGTCAAATCATGTGAACTTTCCAATCAGCATTAGAGACACATCTGGAATCTCAAATGTCTCAGACAATGTTCTCGGAATATTGAGACGACGAACTGGAGATCTCCCACCAAGTCTCACACGAAGAACTGAAATTTTTTATCTAAGCCAAGAAAATGGCGCTTATGAGAGCATCAAAGATGGCAGTGATGATGAAAGTCCCTTTCTATCGCCAGCAAGACCAGAACTTTATCCCAACTTGAGTCTTTTCTCAACTTCATATATCGAACCTGAAAAGTTTGAATCATCAGATTCTGATCTAGATGGTAATTCATATAGAGTGGAGAAAAAATCATTCAACACAAATTTAACAAATGTGAGCCATGACTATGACCCTAATAAGGGACCAGGAACAGGAATAAACGAAAGCTTTGAATATACCTTATCAAGAAATGCTTTAACGTTAGCTGATACTCCATCGTTCCATCAAAGCACTCTTCCAAACCTTCCACATATATCAAGTGCACCACCTACAGTGCAGGGGCACAACTCAAGCTATTTCTCTTTGGCTAGAGTAGCTCTCTTCTGTGTAGCATTATCGGTCGTCTATATTGCGATACACAGAAAGTACTACTTCTTCACGTTGTCGCCTCTACCAGATTACATGGGTAAGATATCAAGTCAAGTTTTAATTAATAAAAGCATAGTAGGCTTCTTCATACGTTAAATAGGTTCTTGGCGGCGTGGTTTCTTGGCAGGGTGGCCCTTTGTTGGCGGGGTGGCCTCTTGGCAGGGTGGCCTCTTGGCAGGGTGGCCCTTTGTTGGCGGGGTGGCCCCTTGTTGGCGGGGTGGCCCTTGTTAGCAGGTTGGCTCCTTGTTTGCCGGGTGGCCCCTTGTTGTTGGCGGGTGGCCCCTTGTTTGCGGGGTGGCCCCTTGTTTGTGGGGTGGCCCCTTGTTGGCGGGGTGGCCCCTTGTTTGCGGGGTGGCCCCTTGTTTGTGGGGTGGCCCCTTATTGGCGGGGTGGCCCCTTGTTGACGGGGTGGCCCCTTGTTGGAAAGTTGGCTGTCGCGGCCTCAAAATGTCACGGCCTTTTTCCGTTGTCTAGGGTAACTACTTTTAAGGCCTTCTTCGTAAGTCTAGTATATCCAATGGTGACTACTCGATGTATAACCTTATGTCAGACCTGTATGGTTAATTCTCGTCTCTCTCTCTTGGTCAAGTAACTCAAACACCGACTAGTCCATTGTAAATTATGTATTTATTTACATGTACTAAAACATCCACTTGTTACAAAAACATTTGCTACATAATTCATCCAGCAGAAAAATACTATCCTCAGGCAACAAGCCATATAGGGAATCTAACAGAAACAGTAAATCTCTCGCCCCTTCTCTGGACTCTGCCACATCGACTCAACTCTCACTATCAACCCATCGGCCCATCTCACTTGTCTCTCCTCCTGTCGACTAACACACTGCCCTTTTATACCCTCACACAAATGCTCAGTATACTCTAAAGCTCAGCACCACGAACCATCTCCTCGCTCTGAACTCAAGACTGACGACTCACAAAACCCTCTCACGATCAACAACTCCCCCTACCCAAACATTCACAACAATCTAGTTCACAACAGGGACCTCTTGTTGGCGTGATGACCTGTTGTTGGCGTGATGACCTATTTGTTGACGGGATGACCTCTTGTTGGCGTGATGACCTATTAGTTGACGGGATGACCTCTTGTTGACGGAGTGACCTCTTGTTGATGGGGTGACCTCTTTTGTTGGCGGGGCTACCACTTGTTGACGGGGTGACCTCTTGTTGACGGTGTGACCTCTTGTTGGCAGGGTGACAGTTTGCTGAAGGGGTGATCTCATGTTGACAGGGTGACCTCTTGTTGATGGGGTGACCTCTTTTTGACGGGGTGACCTCTTGTTGACGGGGTGGCCTCGTGTTGACGGGGTGACCGCTTGTTGACAGGGTGACCTCTTGTTGACGGGGTGACCGCTTGTTGACGGGGTGACCGCTTGTTGACGGGGTGACCTCTTGTTGACGGGATGACCTCTGGTTGACGGTGTGACCTCTTGTTGGCGTGATGACCTCTTTTTGACGGGGTGACCTCTTGTTGACGGGGTGGCCTCTTGTTGACGGGGTCACCGCTTGTTGACGGGGTGACCTCTTGTTGACGGGGTGGCCTCTTGTTGACGGGGTGACCTCTTGTTGATGGGGTGACCTCTTGTTGATGGGGTGACCTCTTGTTGATGGGGTAGCCGCTTGCTGACGTGATGACCTCTTGGTATGATCAAGCCACTCTGTCTTGTTTTGCGGTGTGTCACTTCTAAATAGTCCCGTGTTAGGACCCGTTGATGACGTCATTAATTAACGCCCACTAAGTCAGAACTGGACATTGAAAAGTGATCTGTGGCCAACTAAGTTAGAACTGGACACTGAAAAGTGATCTGTGGCCCACTAAGTCAGAACTGGACACTGAAAAGTGATCTGTGGCCCACTAAGTCAGAACTGGACACTGAAAAGTGATCTAATGCTGGCTATTGGCCAATTAGTGGAAGCTCGAATTTCTTAACCTAACTTTCAGTGGCGTAGCAAGACATTGTGCCACCAGGGGCGGACTTAAATGTCAACTCAACATTCCTCCCTCCACAACAACAACACATAAATACACAGAGTTTTATGGCACAATGAAACCTGGAGATAACGGAACCATGAAATAGCGCTAGTCCTGTCGTATGCACTAAATCTCCCCAGAACGCAAAAGGGGTTTGGGGTGGGGGTTGAAGCTAAGGTCATCAAAGAAATCATTGAGTCCCCCCCCCACCCCCTGATTAAATTAAACTGATTAAATTGGTGAAACCTCTTCATTAATTAATAATTTTTTTTTAAATTTACAGCTATTGGTGTTCTGACCTTAAAAAATCATTTACTTTATTATATATATATTATCATTATTATTATAAGTGGTTTTATATAGCGTGGTACCCCAGCCTAGGTCTTTTTATAAAATGTTTTAAAACAATAATTTACGAGCATTGAAGGGGTATTTGGTTCAATTCTTTTAGCCAGGGGCTATACAATCACTGTCTACGGACAATGACTAGACAGCTATGTGTTCCTATGTTGACTGTACCCAGTCCCTCGTACTACAATCTCTATCTATGGACAATCACTCGACAGCTATGTGTCCCCACGTTAACTGTACCCAGTCCCTCGTACTACAATCACTATCTATGAACAGTGACTAGACAGCTATGTGTCCCCACGTTGGCTGTACCCAGTCCCTCGTACTACAATCACAATCTATGAGCAATGACTCGACAGCTATGTGTCCTCACGTTGGCTGTACCCAGTCCCTCGTACTACAATCACAATCTATGAACAATGACTAGACAGCTATGTGTTCCTATGTTGACTGTACCCAGTCCCTCGAACTACAATCACAATCTATGAACAATGACTGGACAGCTATGTGTCCCCACGTTGGCTGTACCTAGTCCCTCGTACTACAATCTCTATCTATGAACAATGACTAGACAGCTATGTGTCCCCATGTTGACTGTACCCAGTTCCTCGTACTACAATCTCTATCTATGAACAATGACTAGACAGCTATGTGTCCCCATGTTGACTGTACCCCGTGCCCCAAATGCTTTAATCCGACCATGTATCATACACGGGGCAATGGGAAAGTGCTCAAAGCCATAATTACAGTGGTGGATTGATTTATTATACCAAACAAAAACATTTCTTTTGGGTAGCAGATCCCAAGGGGCGTCATAAAAATCAAAGTATTGAAATTATAATTAAAATATTAAAGAGATTTATTGAACTTAGACTAATAATAAACTGTGATTATAAATTATATGCATACAATCACACTGGCTGCATTTAAAGTTATTTTAATAAAATGGATGCTTCTCCTGGGTCCCAACTTCTGAGCGTCGGGGAACTCTAAAACATATTATTTTGTTATTTAAGTGCAGGGCATTATTACTCCAGTTGTCACTTAGGCCTACATTATTCCAACTGTCACACAGGCCTATATTATTCCAGCTGTCATATAGGCCTATATTATTCCATTTGTCTCACAGGCCTATATTATTCCATCTGTCACATAGGCCTATATTATTCCATCTGTCACATAGGCCTTTATTATTCCATCTGTCACATAGGCCTATATTACTCCATCTGTCACATAGGCCTTTATTATTCCATCTGTCACATAGGCCTATATTATTCCATCTGTCACATAGGCCTTTATTATTCCATCTGTCACATAGACCTATATTATTCCATCTGTCACATAGGCCTATATTATTCCATCTGTCACATAGGCCTATATTATTCCATATGACACATAGGCCTATATTATTCCATCTTTCACATAGGGCTATATTATTCCATCTGTCACATAGGCCTACATTATTCCATCTGTCACATAGGCCTATATTATTCCATCTGTCACATATGCCGACATTGGACGTGTTATTTTAAGTCACCCACGTTACGTTATCAAAAGAAAACATCTCTCAAACGTTTCCCTTGGATGACCTCCCCTTGCTGGCGGCTTGGTTTTGTTGTTTGACTTCGTCCCCTTGTTTGGACCTCATACGCGGTATGAAATTGAGCCAATTAGATTTCCAGTGTCTCGTAATAACTAGTAGTCATTGGAGTAAAACTAAATGATCCTTTGGGTCTAGTATGCCGATAATGCCGCCCACACCTATGCCTAAATCAAGTAAAAAGTGTAACCAGGTGCGGACCAACCCCCCCCCCCTTTTCCTACGCCAATGTTTTGTTCTTTTTTTTAAACACTGCCCTGGAAAAAAGTGATTTAACCTTTCTATGTGCGTCATCTTCTTTGTAATAACTAGTAGTCATTGGAGTAAAACTAAATGATCCTTTGGGTCTAGTATGCCGATAATGCCGCCCACCCCTATGCCTAAATCAAGTAAAAAGTGTAACCAGGTGCGGACCAACCCCCCCCCCCCCTTTTCCTACGCCAATGTTTTGTTCTTTTTTTTAAACACTGCCCTGGAAAAAAGTGATTTAACCTTTCTATGTGCGTCTTCTTCTTTGTTCCTATGGGTACCTAGTACATAGTGCATAGTAAATAGTGCATAGTACATAGTGTAACACCTGTATACCTGACCAACTGGAAGTACGGGAGTGACACGGTCCTTCCAAAAAATGATTTCTAAAAGTAAGACAAAATTCGTGACAACTCAAATGAGTTTAGATTCTATCTAATAGTATCATTATTTATTTTAAATGATTGATAACTGAAACTGAGTAAATATCAATTAATGAAAATGGAATTTTAACAAATCGGTGGGAACGTTTTAAAACCCTATGGACAAGGTCCGATTGAGGCAGTGTATCTCAACCTTCCTAATGCAACTACCCTGAACTCGTCATGAAATTTCGAATCCCAGTTTTAATGACGTAGGAAAAAATTATCTTTCCGATGGCAAAAGACAAAAATAATTTTCATGGGGCCCAAAGCACAAAAATGTTGGCAACCCCTAAGTTTGAAGTTTATATCTAGTGACTCTTTGCTCTTTATAATTATAAAAGCAATTATACTCTTACACTGTATAATGCTTTAATAAGGGGAGATACTGCAACAGGTTAGGGGAGAAAAAATGGAAATGAGTGGGGGAAAAAAGTATGGGGAAAACCTGAAAAAAAAGGACACAACAAAATAACGAACGTGTCGGCAGGCAGTCTTCATCGGCGAACAAACAACATAAAAACAGAATAAGATAAATAAAATTATGTGAAACAATTAGGTATTAAATGGACAATGGTGTAAAATATCTAAGTTTGCCTTAAATGTTCGAATCATCAAATATATCGAGTGTAGGCCTGTAGCAGCAGTTCATTCATTGCACTATTTCTCAAATGTTAATCCTGAAAAGTACCATTTAGGCCTACTACCCTTTTGTCAAATGTTATTAAAATTACAATTTTTTTTCCTATACATTATTTTTCCGCATTTTTTTAATACAATTTTTCTCTGAGATTGAGGCTAGCTGGCTTCCTCAGGTGCAGCACCCGAGCGCTCACTGAAAATGTAAGAACCACTGTTTGCACAAGTCCAAACACAGCAGCTGCCATCTTGCTGCGAACCTCGTTTTTCCAGACTGAATGGTTCAGTTCATTTCATTTGCCTTGTATCTTGGACGTTTTCGCATCTCGTTAGTTCACTTTAGAGTTTCTACGACATTTTTTGCTTATATAGACTCTTCGAAACTGAATCTCAAGGCTGTGCTTTTATACGATGTAAACCGTCATCCATCTATTCCAGTAGCGCATGCTGTCCGCATGAAAGAGACACACGATAACTTAAAGCAGTTAATGAAGTCCATTGAGTGTAACAAGTACAGATGGCAACTCTGCGGTGATGTGAAGGTAGTTGCCCTTTTTGAGGAGAGAGCCGCAGGTATATATAAAGTGCACGTGCTGCTCATGCCCGCTGGTTAGCCGCGCAAAGGAATTGCACTACTGTTCCAGTATTAAACAGAAACTCGTCCCTCTCCCCCATAGACAGCGACGAGGCCATGAGAGGCAATTCAGGCTCATACCAGCAAGAAGCCAGTATAGGAGCTGCTCATACCTGCCCAAGACAATCAGGGACTGGAACAATCTTTCAAAAGGAACGGTTGAGGCGACAACACTAGACACATTTGTGTCTATTGCCTCAAGCCTTCAAACCCCTAGTACATGATTTCCTCATCAACACCAGTAACAGAAACATAGCAAATCCCATCTACATTCATAGGAGCCAAAATGATTAATAAATTGATCGAAGGCCCTTAAGATATAGAAGAAGAAGAATGGACACGCAGACAAAATGTAGCGGTTGGAGAGAGGAATATCCAGCACCCAGATCTGGTCGAGGCAGACAAAATCCTGCTACCGTCCCTTAACATCAAACTAATTTTGATGAAAAACTTCTTGAAAGCCATAGATCAGAAGGCCATAGATCAGAAGGCCATAGATCAGAAGGCCATAGATCAGAAGGCCATAGATCAGAAGGCCATAGATCAGAAGGTCATAGATCAGAAGGCCATAGATCAGAAGGTCATAGATCAGAAGGCCATAGATCAGATAGCAAAAGACCAGAAAGCCTTAGACCAGACTTCGTCAGCTTTACGATACCTGCATGAAAAAGTCCGTTAATTGACTCAGCGAAGCAAATATTAGTGAGGTTCTTGGGTTGGTTGTTGTTTTTTTTTTTGGTGGGGGGGGGGGGGTCCTCAGATTCGAGAGCTCTTCAAATATGACCGGTTTAACAAGTTGCTGCAGGGTGACTACAAACTTTCTAGGGAATGTTGGGCAAGGAATTAGTAGAAGATTTTCTGATGCAGTATCAGCAACTTGCCTGAACTATCACGGTAAAGGTCCCATTCCGTCATTCCCATCTGGATTTTGTCCCTGACAAGTGTGGTATGGTCAGTGATGACCAAGGCTAACGTTTTCATTAAGATATTGCATTGATGGAACAAAGATACCAGAGGGAAAATGGTCTATTACAATGCTAGCTGAATACTGCTGACTGACTATTGCTGGCTGACTAATGCTGGCTGACTACTGCTGGCTGACTACTGCTGAGTGACTACTGCTGACTGACTACTGCTGGCTGAGTACTGCTGTCTGACTACTGCTGACTACTAATGACTGACTACTGTTTGCTGACTACTGCTGACTGACTACTTCTGACTGACTGCTGCTGGCTGACTACTACTGACTACTGCTGGACACTCTCCAGAGGTATTTCCGAACAGCTGTACAAGAGATTGTCGAAGAAATCTAAGTAGTCTATGACTTGATTTTCTTACAGGTATTACTATTATTAACCGTAGGACTATTATTATTGGCAGGCATTTCATGATGTGAACATTAATTTATTGCAAATACAAAAAACAACTATGGCCAATTTTGACAGGCGACTGTCACATTTGTGTTGAGGACACGAAATATTTATTGTCAAATAGAAATAAAAGTATAAAAATAAATCATGCACCGGTCCGTGGTAAAATTTCGAAACTTGTTCACCGGTCCACCAAACTTAAAAGTTTGGGAACCACTGATGTAGTGGGCCGCAAAATATCGTCTTGCGGGTCACAAATGTCTCGCGGGCTGCGAGTTTGAGACCCCTATATTAGATGTTTATTTATCAACATTCACGATTATCTCATTTTTGTAAAAAGAATATAAATATTGATACTTTCCCCCATCATTTTCGATGTATGCAGAAGGTATGCGGGAACGAACTTCAAAATATCTAAATATATCATTTTCGGCTACGGTTTCGGCCGAGAGTCATTTTTAACTTTCCATCTTTTTTCGGTTTCGGCCGAAAGTCATTTTAAACTTTCGGCCTACTTTTGGCTTCGGCCGAAATCAGAAAATCACTTTCGGTCGGTCACTACCGCCCATAGGCATTCCACCGCATTTTTGTTTTGAGAGCTCCTGGTCTAATTGAATAATAAAATCAAAATTGCGAGACCGGATATGAGCGTAACGTTATCTGAGCATGCGTATTAATACATATGAAATAAGCAACAACATGGCGGACGGTGAACACCTTACTGATGCAGAGCTTGTTGCCGAGTTACAGCAGTTTGGGGAAAAGGTTCAGATGCCAATAAAATATAATAAACGCCCCATTCTTTTAAAAAAGTTAAATCACTATAGAGCCAGGAGCAAAGTGTCGCCTTCTAAAATTCAACCAAAACTTAATTCTAAGCAAGCCAAGACACAGTCGTCGTCGGCTGATCGATCAAATAATTCGTTTTTGAATATACCGGTAAACAATCAGTTACCACCCCCAACTGCATCTTTAGCATCAGCACCTAGAGCCTCTCATTCGTTTGGACTAGAGCGACCTGGTAGTTATAATCTTGGAACTTTAAGTTCAGATGACAGTGATGCTGATACTGTTCCTAGTTCATTTCCCCATGGTTCACAGGCAAGTTCAAATGAGTCAAATCATATGAATTTTAAAACCAGCATTAGAGACACATCTAGAATCTCAAATGTCTCAGACAATGTTCTCAGAACATTGAGACGACGGACTGCAGAATTACCACCAAGACTTACACGAAGAACTCAAATTTTTGAGCTAAGCCATGAAAATGGAGCTAATGAGAGCATCAATGGTGGCAGTGATGATGAAATTCCTGTTCCATCGCCTGCAAGATCAAGACTTTATCCCAATTTAAGTAAATTGACAAGCTTTTCCTCAACTTCAAATATTGAACCGGACAAATTTGAATCATCAGATTCTGATCTAGATGGTAGTTCATATATGGTTGAAAACAAATCATGCAACACGTCTTTTAAAAATGTTAGCCGTGACTCTGACGCTAATAAGGGACCAGGAACCAGCCAAAGCTTTGGATATCCTTCATCAAGTTCAAGAAATACTTCATCTTTATCTGATTCTTCATCGTTCCATCAAAGGACCCTTCCACATAGAAGATATGCTAATGCACCTCATAGAGTGCAGCAGTACAAGTCAAGATGCATAGAGCACTTGCCACATTTGTTAGTGGCGATAGCAGTTCTCTTCTTTGTAGGATTATCAGTCACTTATATTGTGATACACAAAGACTACTTCTTCTCTTGGTTTTCTTCACCAAATTATATGGGTAAGGTATGAATTAAACTTTATAAAAAAATACAAAGTAGGCCTACAGCAGACATCTTCGTCTTCATATTTTAAGTTTAAGAGAGTTTAGATAGGCACCCAAATAACCATTGGGGAGAATGTTAGGTCAGCTTTTCTTTTTTCTCATTAAGATAATTTTTATAAACCGAAATAATAATTGAATGGCAGGGCTCCCACACAGTCAGGAGAACTGGACTTAGTTGGAAATTCATAAATAATGGTCAAGAAAACTGGGAAAATGCCAGGGCATGCTAGAGTCTCTAGTAGAGAGGAGATTTTCCTGACAGTCAGGAATTTTCTAATTTTTAAAAAATAATAATAAATTTGGATGTTATGAAGATTGACAATAATTACAGATCTCATCTATTTTTTAGCCCTCTTGTTATGAAAAGAACTTTGCGGCTTAATCTGTGCATGATGAACCTTCAATTATTTACCGAATTATTGTATACAGAATACAAGAATAGAGTTATATAATAGCTACTTTCATTGCAGATTGGGGAAGAGCAAAAACTTAAAAACTTAATTTACGACAAAAAAGACCTTTGATGCAACTTAGTGCAAAAAAAAACATAATCAATGTCATGAATAACAATAGGATCTATTTTACCTGTTTTGGAAGTGTAAAGTTGTAAAGCTGTATTTTGTTGACTAGTTGATCATTGATGGTATAATGCTTTTTATCAATGAATTGACTTTTTGAAAATCTAGATGGTTTTAAAATGAAGTGATTATACGCAGTCGGCTGCGTATAACCCTGAGAGTTATACGCAGACGGCAAGTCACGTGAGGTCTATATACTTCCTGTGTTACTGTATCGATTGATAAAGGTATATCGTTATCAGGGTGACTGGGTGGTCGAATGGTATAAACTGAGCGAACCTCAAATTGGTGGTCTGGAGTTCAGTTCCACCCAAAGGCCAGTCAAGAATGTATAATACGTGTTAGTTGTCATGTTTGTTCTCGAGAATAAAGCAAAAACAGCTAGGCTTATTGTTTTACTTTTGTTTTGGCTAAAAAATCTTAAAACATGATACGAATTAACTTGACCAATGTAACGTTAACAATGTTATTCTTATACTTATAATTATCATAATATATGCTTGTGTTGTTAACTAATTTTGTGGCAAATAAAAAAATGTTTCTCTGGTACAGTAATTATAATCAAGGGTGGAGAGGAGCAGAAAAAAATAGATGTTGGGGCATTGGGTTCTGTAGAGGGAGAACACAGTTATAGTTTTGCATGGATGCTGAAAACTGTTAAATTTAGGTCACCAAAAAAAAAATATAAATGATATAATTTTTTTTAAATAAATAGAATGTATTTCCTGAATTAGCCAGTAAAACCAACCACATAGTCATAGTATGGCAATATAAAAACCTAATCAATCAGAATACAGAACTAGACTTAAACCATGGAAATGCCTTATGGCATAATCATCTTCTTAGTCTTAGACTCTAAAATTATAATATATAAGATACAAACAATAATACTAATAATAGCACTAATACTATTACTATCATTCGGTATTATTAAAATTAATTCAATTAAAATTTTACGTTAAACACATTAAAAGTTATAGTTCAAAACAACCCATAATGCAGCTAATAACGCATAATACTTTTTTTAAAGTGCCAAACTAGTGGTAATAAACATTATTTGGCTAAATTCCCAACGGACTGCGTATAACCCTGAGCGTTATACGCAGTTGGCTGGGAATAACTCTTAGGGTTATGCGCAGCCGACTGCGTAAAACGCTTCCCGTTTTAAAATGACTTTTTGATGTTTTTATACATTTTATCAGATTTGTGCAAGACTCTAGACTTGTCGATTTTTACTGGTCATTTGTAGTTTTCAGTCATTATTGTTGACACAATGACATGGATGCCACATAAACATAACTACACAACAATAATTTCTATGCTACGATTACTTCAATATTTTGATATGTTGTAACAAACCTTAAAATAAATTTAATTTGTTACTGTTTGTATGTATTCCTTATTTGGGTATGTCTCGACAACGCGTAACATGATGTGCCACATGTTTCTTGGGTGTTCAAATCAATTCTTTAACTTGCAAAGATTTTTAAGTAGAAGGGCAGTGCATTCAAATCCAGATTTTAAAAAAAATTGCCTAGTTCTTATTAAGAATATGATGATGACTTGTGCTTAGTATCATGTAGATAAGGTTATCCTTGCATTAAGAGCACAATTTTTGTTGCTTTACAGATCTTAAACTGATTTAGTGGTAAAACGACTTATATTTTGAATGGGAATTTGAAGTAACAAGTATCTGACTTGTTATTCTTGTGTCATAAGCCTTAATGAATATTTTTTTTTTTCAGGTTCAGATGACATATTACTTCAGTGTCTTGATGGAGATTACTCAGAGTCAGAGGTGATAATTAATTTAACAAAACCATCAATTTACATAAAAATTCTTTAAATTTTTCTCTTTTTCTTTTATTGTTTATATGAGCCATATATTGCTCAGGCTTTCGTTTAACATTTTACAATGTACAAAAATATTTGTATAATCTGTAAAAAGCATATTTCCAAGATGTACAGTAATTTTTTTGTATTTTACAAATAAGGCTTCCCCAAAAATGTGGAAAAAAAGTTTGTCTTAAAATGTATGTCCATGAAGCCCATTTTTAAAAAAACTCAGTGGATAGAAAGGGGTGTGCCAAAAATATTTTACACCAACACACATTGGCACCTCACTAGGAAAGAATAAAAATGCCATAAGAAGAGGATGGAAAGCTAATTGCGAGTACTTACTTGAATTTAGTTTCCCTTTTGCTAAATCCATGAGTATGTTTAGCTCTGTTTTTTATCACTATAATTTTTTTCTGTGTTGCCAAATTCTCCAGTTTAATCATGTGTTTTAATTGCATTAGAAATTCTGCTGGGTTTTTTTTTTCTTTAATTAATGAATTCATAAATCTTCCTTATTATGTCTGAGGTAACCTGGCAGTGCAGTACTTTTTTTTTTTTGAATTTCTGTTTAAATAAGATAAAATTCCTGTATTCCCAAAACCATTAAATAATCGTTTAAAAATGAATTAATTGTAAAAAATAATATTGCAGATAATTATTTCATGATAACACAATAACACAAAAATATAACATTGTAGCCAAATTTATCATGTATTGTTTTTTTATTTGAAAGAATGCTTCACTTACCAACTTTTTTCTATTGTTATTTTTAAAGGATTGCTATGAAAAAGAAGAAATTGACATTGCACTTGATGTCATCAAAGGATTGTTCACTCAACTGAGTGTCAGAAAAGGTAAGCGAGGAAATATGTTTCATGCGATCAGTAAAATTACTTAGTCTTAGTGTTATCCAACATAATTACATTGTGTGTATAATTTATTTAATGTCAGAATAAGAAAACAAAAAAAGTAAAAGCAGGACTTTAAAAAAATCAGAATTTTCTGTTACTCTGTTAGGTATTTTGTAAAGAATCTTGGATACAATACGGTACTAATTTATGCAGGTGTAATAAAGAAATAGCTATTTTTATATCTTTGAGCCTATGAGAGTTCTTTACTCACTTTAAAATATAATTCTGTATAGGTGAAGTACTTTGTAATTTTGTCAAGTCAGAAGCCACGCTAAAAGCAACAGTTCTACGAACTCAAATTATGAGCAAGTATGCACAGAAGGTGAGTTTTTATTGATTTCTTCAAAGCCAATCAAATATGAGATTATGTCAAATGTGATTTCTGGATTTTAAATTTCTTTTTTTTTTTTTAACTATTTTGAAAAAGTTTAAGCATCTAGAGAGCATTTCTTCAGCTTCTGTTTTAAATAAATGAATTCATTTTTCTATCAATTCTGTCGCCTGATTTTAATAGACATTTGTGTTTTTATGTTGTAATTTAATTTCTTTGGGGATTTCAGTATTGTTTACATCATAATGTTTGATTTAATTAGTTCATCTAAATAAAGTTCAGTAATGTCTACATATCTAAATAAAGCATTTCAGTTTTGTTGACATCATAATGTTTGATTTAATTAGTTCATCTAAATAAAGTTCAGTAATGTCTACATATCTAAATAAAGCATTTCAGTTTTGTTGACATCATAATGTTTGATTTAATTAGTTCATCTAAATAAAGTTCAGTAATGTCTACATATCTAAATAAAGCATTTCAGTTTTGTTGACATCATAATGTTTGATTTAATTAGTTCATCTAAATAAAGTTCAGTAATGTCTACATATCTAAATAAAGCATTTCAGTTTTGTTGACATCATAATGTTTGATTTAATTAGTTCATCTAAATAAAGTTCAGTTATGTCTACATATCTAAATAAAGCATTTCAGTTTTGTTGACATCATAATGTTTGATTTAATTAGTTCATCTAAATAAAGTTCAGTAATGTCTACATATCTAAATAAAGCATTTCAGTATTGTTGACATAATAATGTTTGAGTCAATTAGTTCATCTAAATAAAGTTCAGTAATGTCTACATATCTAAATAAAGCATTTCAGTATTGTTGACATAATAATGTTTGAGTCAATTAGTTCATCTAAATAAAGTTCAGTAATGTCTACATATCTAAATAAAGCATTTCAGTTTTGTTGACATAATAATGTTTGATTTAATTAGTTCATCTAAATAAAGTTCAGTAATGTCTACATATCTAAATAAAGCATTTCAGTATTGTTTACATATCTCAGTGGAGCTGTTCAGTTGTATTCACATATCTATGTTTCAAAATAAAGCAAGTCTGTATTGTCTCGTTATCTACTTTAATTATTTATTCTAAATAATGCAGTTCCCACATTATGTGTAGTATAAATTAAAGGAGTGTGTTTTATGATTTCCTTTTTTCTTACAGAATGTTGAAAGAATTTTTAATTGCAGCCTGGATCATATCTTGGTCAATCCTCATTGGAATATAAAGTAGGATTAATTTACATGAAGTTTGTTAATGATCAGCATTGATTCATGGAATCATCTATAATTTTTAAAACAGAATGTTAACTTCAAAAAGTTTATCCATAAGACTATAATGTGACTTTGTCTGTATGTTTCTTTTAATCATTGACAACAGATAGGTAAAGTTTGATGATAACTAATACTTATACTGAACTCATTTTTTCATATATATTTTTCTAGAGTTCTGCAAGATAACGGATCTGAAGCTGATAAAAAGTCAGATATTTATTTCCTGGAGTCAAGTGTGGCATCAATGACACTGTGGTGTCGCCTGGTTAGATCTTTAAATCAAGTTCTGTATGGGATATTTGTTGTCATTACTGGTTGGTCAACTTTTTCAAATTTTCCTTTAAATTCTTTGTCCTATTAACTATTGGCGACGTCTAACTTAAATTTTTATTTTTAAAGTCGTGTCAATTTAGATCTATATTTAGATTTATTGGTGGATCAAGTTAGATCTATATTTAGATTTATGGGTGGATCAATTTAGATCTATAATTTACTTACCTCTGTGTTTTGAATGTTCATTTTTGTGATTGACTTTTAAAGCATTAAAATATAGCGTGAATTTTACAAAATTAGTATATAATATATCTTAATGTTTTTTTAACAATGGAGTTTTTTGTCACTTTGGAAAAGGCTGAATTTTGATGATGTTTATTATTTTAAATAATAGCCATTGTCTTTTCATCGAAATTTCAGTCATTGGAATCATCTTCCTGCTATCTGTTTACATCCAATACAAGCTCAGGCGACGAGAGAACGAACAGAAAGAAGTTTACAATATGGTTGAAAAAATCATTGGTAAGTCAAGAATGAATAGTTTTGAAATTAGATTTGATTTATTTTACATTAATTAAATGATAACTGAAATTCCAGATATCAGTTGTGAAACCTATATATGGTTGTTAAATTTATTGTAACTTTTCATCCTGTGTGTGTGATTAAAGGTGATGATAGTTATCTAAATCTTAATACTAAGTCAACTGTCAACTCTTACTGCCACCCTCTTCGCAATGAAGTATCAAGTACAATTTTACACACTATGCACTTTAATTCCATGAAATACAAATAACTAATCCTTTGAACAATAATAATAACATCAGTAACATAACAGGATAAATGGCTCCAAGTATATATATATGATCACTCCTTATTCATACATTAAAATCTATGCCCACCTTCTTCAAAATGTCTGCTCTTGTCCACACTTCCATCTCATACAAAATCTTCCTACCAATTAACAAAGTCCCCTAGCTTCATGCTACCATCAAATATCCTTCTGCTCAGTCTTTTGTGTGCAAAAATCATGAATGTCATGTATAAACGCAAGTTTTGCAGTTTTTTTTTTTTTCATTTTTGTAAAAACCAGACTTATAAATAATATTTAACAAACAGACTTAAAAACTAATCAATATACAGTGATGGCGCCCTACAGGTTCTTAAAAATATGAACGCTTAACAAAACATTTGATGAATTATAAGAAAATTGAAAATAAATAAACAGAATATGCTCCAAAAGACCACATACTATTTGTAAATTTTGGGATCTGAGTATAATGTAAAAAAACAGGTACTCGCTTCGTGTGTGTAACATCTTGAATATTACCACCTAAAATAATAACAGCAGCTTGGAATGGTATATGTTACATGTATTCTTCTATAAATATCAATCAACAAGTTTTTGTAAATTCTGATTGCAGTTTCATAACTGATTATAACATTGGTCAAGGGTAGATCCAAACTATTAAATGAGAGCTGCTCTGACTGTCCTAACAATTCTAAATATATTTATTTCAACTGCTGCTATTGATCTTAAGAAGTGTCAATCTGACCTTATTATGTGGTACAGCTGGGAATGCATTGTAAAAAAAAAATAATAATAATAACTCATTTGCCATAAGAAAAGGTATTAGTGTACCCACTTTAAATACATTGGGTAGAAAAGTCTTTTGTTGCGTTTAAATACATTGGGTAGAAAAGTCTTTTGTTGTCTTTAAATACATTGGGTAGAAAAGTCTTTTGTTGCGTTCAAATACATATTGTAGAAAAGTCTTTTGTTGCCTTTAAATACATTGGGTAGAAAAGTATTTTGTTGCGTTTAAAATAGAATAAAATTTAATGTTAATACTTGGGGTAGCTATATTATAAGGGTAGCCAGTTGGTGGGACCAATATTTACTAGTGTAGATATTTTTAAGGTAAATAATTCTTTAATTCGCATGGGTTAACTTTCTAGGTATTCTGTTGAATGTTGTATTTAATAGCCATTTACTTAATCCGTTACACATATTGATGGCTTAGTTTTATGTTCAGCATTACTTATATGTTGAATGAATTGCTTGATAAATGATAATAATCAGTAGAGGACATTGGGACAAGTCATTTCCATGTGTACTAGAGTTGCATTCATTTCTTATCAACACTTCAATTTATTATTTATTAAACAATTTTAATTTTAATGAAAATGTTTGGTAATGAAACTATTTGGATATTATTCTGTCAATATTTAAAAATAAGTGCAGCATGTCAAATGTAATTTAATGATGATTTTAAAAAAACAACAGAATTCCATTCTGATTTCCAGACATGTTACAAGAACACCATGAACAAGTCAAGGCGGAAGATTTTGATGAGCCGCCATATCTTGCTGTAACACATGTCAGAGATCAATTGCTGCCTCCCTCACAACGGTACATAGAAATAATATGTAAACTTCATTAATAGTTTTACTAATGCTTTTGGTTCTTTATAAATTTTATTAAACACCTGAAATCTATTTGTTCAATGCAATGTACATGCGAAGATTAGTTTTCACACTATAAATCACTGTTAATGTTCTGATAACAAAAGCTGTCAACTATTATAGTCACTCAAAGTAAAACACAAAATAGCTGGTGATTTATTATTGAATTTTTTTTCTTTTAGACGCCAGCTCCAGCCAATCTGGGATAAAGCCGTAGCTTTTATTGCTGCCAATGAGTCTAGGATACGTCTAGAACCACGGCTAATAGGTGGGGAGGAATATGAAGTCTGGCACTGGTTGCAGGTGGGTTGGTAGAATATGAAGTCTGGCACTGGTTGTGCCGGTGGGTTGGTAGAATATGAAGTATGGCATTGGTTGTGCAGGTGGGCTAGTAGAATATGAAGTATGGCATTGGTACTGCTGGTGGGTTGGTAGAATATGAAGTCAGGTACTGGTTGTGCCGGTGGGTTGGTAGAATATGAAGTATGGCATTGGTTGTGCAGATCATCATCAGTGGCGCTACAGCCCATGTAGGGCCCTGGCCTGCTCACCACATCCTTCCATTCGGAACGATCCATGGCTTTCCGCCTCCATGCACGAACCCCCAACTGGTGTATATCCATTTTCGCATCATCGATCGATTTCAACCTTGGGCGACCCCTAGTCTGAGTCGTCTGCCCTTAGGCTTCTGCCTTTATATAACTTTTGCTGCTCTACATTCCGGCATCCATTCAACTTGTCCTGCCCAGCGTAGTCTGCCTTTTTTTAAATCATTGTGACTATGGGTGGGTCTTTCTTTGTACAAATGGTTAAGTTCTTGGTTTGTACGAATTCTCCAGATATCATTTTCTATCATTAGGCCGTATATCTTTAGGAGGATTTTCCTCTCCCATTGTGCTCGTTTATAGTTGCCCCTAGTTATTTGAATGTAGCCGCCACTCTCAAATTTGTGGTTGTTAATATGGATGTTATCATCAGCTTGGGAGTTTCTTGACATTATCATATATTTTGTCTTCGGTTCATTTATATCAAGACCAGCTTTGACAGAGGCATTTTCAAGTTCCCTGAATGCTTTAATTATGTCATTACGGTTTCTACCCAGTAGCGCTATATCGTCTGCATATGCCACATACTGCAATGGTTGGCTTTATAAGGTTCCTGATGGTCGTTGTTCTGTAATACCTCTCTGGAAGTAGTTTGTTATGGTTCCACTGGTGCTCACGTTTATGCTTCTATTAACTTTTTCTAGCGTGATGTTAAACAGGATACATGATGGTGAGTCTCCTTGTCTGACGTCCCGATTAAATGGGAACTCCCTTGAGTATTCTCCCTGCTCCTTGATTCTACTTTTGTAGATGGCCATTGTCAAATGTATGAGTATGAGCCGAGTAAGCTTGTTTGTTCTTGTAGAGCATTGTATAAGTAATTCCAGTTTACGCTATCGTATGCTGTTTTGTAATACAGTTGGTGTATGTTGATGTTATATTTGTAACATTTCTCCAGGAGAATTCTTATAGTAAAAATATGATCTGTGGTTGACCTGCTCTGCCGGAATCCGCATTGATAGTCCCCTAGGATCTGTTCACTATTCTTTTCCAGTTTTCTCGCTATGTTTTGTGAGGATTTTGTACATTACATTAAGAAGGGAGATTCCTCTATAGTTTGAGCAGATGAACTTAGATCATTTTTAGTGAATTCTTATTATGAGTGCCGTGTCCCATTCAATTGGCATTTCTTCCTCCTGCCAGATTCTGGATATAAGTTCATGTATTTGGCTATGCAGTTCGTTGCCACCTAGCTTTATCAGTTCTGCAGAGATAAGGTCTATTCCTGAGGCTTTGTTATTTTTCATGGTGGAGATTACATCTTTTATTTCATTTAATGCTGGTTGGTTGACCAGTAGGTCCGGTCCTCCTTGTGGTGGATCGTAATCCTCATTAGTTCCTCCACCTGAGCCATTCAGTAAGCCTTCAAAGTGTTGCGCCCATCTCTTTAGTACTTTACTGCTCTCTGTGATCAATTCTCCATCCGTACTTTCACATATGTGGGATCTTGCTTGATAGCCATTCTTTTCCTGCTTTATCTTCAGGTACATTCCCCTCACATCTCTTTCTTTTGCCAACTCTTCTATCTCTACTATTTTTTATTTTTCCCAAACACGGTTTTTTCATTCTGCAAATTTTTCTGGCCACCCTTCTTGCTTAATTATGTAATTGCCCTGTTATTCTTGTCTCCCTTTGCAACATCATTAGCAGAGCTTTATTTCTTTTTCTATAAGTTCTTTGCATTCTGCATCATACCATCCTGATCTTTTCACTACTGGTTTAAATCCAATCATTTCCTCTGTTACACTTGTGACTGTTTGCTTCATCTTTTCCCATTGCTGGTTTATATCAACATTGCTGGCTGATTCTCTTTTGGATAATTCTAGTAGAGTTTCAATCTTCTGTTGATATTCCTCCGTAATTTTTGGGTCCCTACTCAATTTCTGACTATTGTACTGTTCTTCTCTTTTATATTGTTTATTGTGGATGTTACAGATTCTTTGTTTATATTTGATTCTAACGAGTATATGGTCTGAGTCTATGTCCGCCCCTCTACAACTTTGCACATCTAATGTCAGAGCCATGCCTCCTGTCAATAATGGTCTATTTGATTACGGGTAAATCCATCTGGAGATATCCATATCGCTTTATGTATTTGTTTATGTTGGAATATTGTGCTACTGATGGTTGTGCAGGTGGTTTGGTAGAATATGAAGTCTGGCACTGGTCGCAGGTTGGTTGGTTGAACAGGGGGAATATCATGTTTTTGCTTGGAGTGTTTAGGACAGCACCAGTTAACATGAACTAATTTTGGCAAAACTTGCCCATTTGCTATTTAGCAGCTCGAGTGAGCCAACTGTCTAGTTAAGGTCTACTCTACTTCATTTTGATGACAGTGTATGCGGCATGGTAATCCAAATCTTGAACTGATTGTTTAAATGGGGCCATGATGTCATGTTAGTTAATGTGTCAAATTGTACCTGCAATCTTTTATTAAATTTCACTATTTATCAAATTTAAGAAAAAACATTTCTTTTTCTTCATTTTTCAGCCAAGTGTAAATAATGGTAAAATATGGCAAGGTCAAGGTAAGTCTGCAACAATACTGTTTATTTTCTAGAATAATTTTTTTGGCCATTCCTATTTCACACGGTACTTAAACAATTGAAGAGCATCTGCCAGGACTCGATCACCCATCATGTGAACAGCATTAGAAATTGCATGAGTATCTATTGGTCTTTTGTGTTGCTTTCAGTCTTTGGTGAGAAGAGTGAAAACAACTCTAATCAAGTCATCTACAGCCCAACGCCATGCCTCAAAATTCGAAATATGTTCGATACCAATATGTAAGTAATTTTTTAAAATATCGAATGGTCAAGCCATTCTTTTTTTCAATTAGCTATTACGTATGATAAAAATTGAGTGTCAAGAGGATTTGATATGTGACGGTATGCTTGGCTTTATTTAAACCAAGTATAAAAAAAATAATATGTGTCATTTAAATAACAAAAGCTAAAGTCAAGAGAACCCAGCCGCCTGTATAAGAAAACAGTTTCTCAAAATAAATTGGACACTTGGTACAATTGTGCAACCAGAAAAATGAAACAATTTTATTTTTATAATAAACGCACCCTGCCTAACCTAGTTTTTGTTTACCCCCTTTCAAATGCAAATAATCAAAGGAGCATAACTCCATTTCGAAATTTTAAAAAGTCGTTTTGAAGTTCTAATAATGTGACCAAATTGGAGTGATGCTGATAAAAACTGGATGTAGTGGAGAAATCATTCCATTATAATCTCTGAAGTTCAACACCTGAACATGTCTTCATGTTTACTGCCTTCACCATGCCCATCGTTGTAAGCTGCTTGCATCCACGTCAGCTGCTTTCATCCACATCAGCAGCTTGCATCCAAGTCAGCTGCTTGGATCCACATCAGCTGCTTGCATCCACATGAGCTGTTTGCATCCACAACTGATAAAGTTATCTTTAATCATAAGTTCAACAACATAAATCTCTTTGATAATTTCACCCTCATCTGGCTCAATAAACTTCTCAATAGCTTTGAAAAACTACGCTCAACTAAAAATTCTTGCCTGCCAGTCACAGAAGAAGATCAAAGCAATAAAGTTATTTCTTTGCTCATTCCCGACATAGTGCTACTTCTGTACTTAAGTTATAGTCCAGGGAAAGGGATGTTACTCTGTTTTGCAATTGATGTAAAATATTTCTTAGCTGATAAATATTAATTAGTATTAAAGAATTAAGGATAAATGCATCCAGAAATCAATAAGGTTTTATCAAATTATAACAAACCAGGTGCAATTTAAAAAAATAGATTTTTTTTTTTGCACCTTAGATGAAGACATGCTAGAATTAGAGGCACTATAGATTGAAAGTAAAAGACAAGATAAAAACTTTTTGTTTTTTAAGTTAAATCCTGCAGAATCACACCTCCACAAGATTTCATTGCTATTTTAAAATCAAAATGAGAGAGGTGTGCCGCTATGCTCTGGGACGCATCTGTCCAATGCATGTAGTCGCAACCCTCTGGAATGAGTTAAAGTTGCCATGTGCTTGATGTGCAGTAAACTTTAGAAGTCGTGCTGTTTGGGTGTTCGTTATTATCATTGTGTTTGTTGGTATGATTAGGGTGTTTGATATTATCATGGTGTTTGTTGGTATGAACAAGGAGTATAATACAGCAAAAGCTGGTACACGTCAGTACAGGAAGTAGCTTGTATGAATTAAGGAGGTCGGTGAACATTACGATAGGCAGGAACGTGTTAAAGTTGATATCAATGTATTACATCCACATGATACAACAGTGAATATTATCCTCAAATAGGGAGAGTGGTGAGAATTGGGAGAGCAGTGTTACGGATGCCATCTTGGAGAAGTGTAAAAACATCAAGCACATAGTTCATATATATGTTGATGTCGACTCAAGGGAAGGCTGTGTTTACCTTAAGTGTTCAAGCTGTGAGGCTGCTGGCAAGGCCAGGCAATCCTTACATGGCTGGTGGTTTGATGGTGAGTACAATGCAAACACAGATAGAAATCTGTCATGAATTTTAGGTGATTTTTCAATTGCTCCCAATTATAATGATATATTATCACTGTAACTTTAAATGAAGTTTGTGAAATATGAGATTTAAACAAATATCATTATTATGAAAGATCAGGGGTCTCCCCACATCCTCTAAAATTAGTTACAAAATTAAATTACTAGAAGATGCATTTAAATGCTGCCTCATTGGCCTTGAAACCCTTTCTGTGGTGTCATTAAAATTACAAATGATTCAATGTGTATTGGTTATGGGGAACTCACTCTATACAAATGAGTTTATTTCTTATTTACGTTTCTATCAGTGTGTTAACAAGCTTTTATCAGGACTTTTTGGTGGGATTAATTGGGTGGGAAGTTTGCTCAATTTTGTTTACTGCTGTATTGTACTGCTGTACTGAGGCTGGAGAGGGTCACCCTCTCCATTGCAAAATCCACACAGAATTTATTTATTGAAATTATTTGAAATGGATTAAATTGAAAGCAATGATTTCACAGTTGAAAAAAATTGATTTGCATAGAACAACTTGTCAAGAAGTGAACATAGTATTCAAAGATAACTAACATAGTATTCAAAGATAACTCAACATAGTCTTCAAAGATAACTCAACATAGTATTCAAAGATTGGCCATTTAGTTTACCATTTATTGCTAAAGAATAATTTTTTTTAAATTCTTCTAAGTTTACACAGGGATTTGAACATTAGAAAAGCAAGAGGGAGGGATTGACCAATGGTAGATAAGCCTATTACACAGATAGCATCCTGTAGAAAAATGATATTGAAGTATTCCAAAAGTTTATTCAACTATTTTTCAAATACCATTTAAGAAGAATTTAGAACACACAAAAGTCCCTCTCCCTCCAAAGTGTTCCCTCTGGTCGATTGCACCCTCCGCACTCCCAGGGTTTGACAATGTGTTATAGTCACCTTGAAACTTAAACTGCACACCATTTACAAATCCTTGCACACCTGGAGTGACATGAATGCAAGATCTATAGTTGGAAATATTTAGTCAAATAATTGAATACTATGACAAGGAACTTTATCTTCGCTTTCCATTTTTGACTGTTTTCAGGTCGCCTGGTTACAGTCAAACACCTGAAATTGGATCACTACCACAAGCGTTGGCCTGATGCAAAGCATGCTACCGTCCCTTTGAAACCTTCAACGGATCAGATGAAATCTCTATCCCAGCCCTACTATCGATCGTCTTTGGAAATGACGTAAATGTAACATTTATTTGTAAATGTTTCAGTTTTGGGTTTTTAAAAAGTCATGCTAGTGTTTTTTATCACAGACGGTGAAGATTTTTATGTCATTATGCCCGGTCTAGAATCACGTGTCTAACTCCTCCCCTTCATTTATGGAGATGATTATCTACCCTTTCATTTATACAGATAGATTATTCTTGATCTATTATGCCATTCTGTTGACATTTTATTTTGTAGATTTGGATTCGCTAAAAGCTTCTAAAGCAGATTTTATTGTAAAGACTGTTTGTCATCTGGTGGACCTTCTTATCGTTCATCTGTTGGACCTTGTTATCATCTGATGGACCTTGTTGTTGAAAGAAGAACATTGATAATAGCAGTAGTATTTGTTTCTAAGCTGGTGCGATTGTTTGCAGCCATGTTCAAATAACTCGAAGAAATCGTCTCCCTTTCACATTACGACAACTGCTTACTTTTAATTGTTTCAATCTGTAATACAAGAATTATTGTCGTTGATTTTATTGTCAATTGATCTCCCCTAAAGTGTAAGCTGTTCTATTGGTCTCCCTTGAAAAGTAAGCTGTTCGGAAATTCTCCATTGCATTGGTCACCCTTGAAAATTCAGCCGAAGTTCTCCATTGCATTGGTCTCCCTTGAAAAGTCAGCTGTTCCGAAGTTCTCCATTGCATTCATCTCTTTAAACATTAGAAATGAAAAACATTAAAATTAAACTCTACAAAGCCAAAGTATCTGAAATAAGACCATGTTAACTTTGGCAACTGGCTTTACTCTCTTGAGCACAATCCACTTTGGCTTTACTCTCTTGAGCACAATCCACTTAAGAAATGATAGAATTAGATCCCCTTTGTTCACTATTTGGCTCATGTACAGTTTGATCAACTTGATGTACAATAAAATTCAGAACTTGACATCTGTGTCATACATTTTATCTATTTCTGTATGTTGTTGTCTTATCATTAATGAATCATTAAGACAACAGAGATGTGTGAGCTATAAGTATAATATTGTGTGTCCAATACAAGATATTTCTTCTAAATAAAACTTTGATATTATTAAGATCTCTGTGCCTGTCCTATTCTGTCATAGGAACAGAACAGGGAGGAAACAGGAACAGAAGTTTAACATAGGTTTGTACAGACTCAATAGCTAGTCTGTACGACAAAAATAGTGTACCTTACACAAGTTGAGAGAATGCTTATGTATGGACTTAGTGTTGCCATCTTTGTTGTTGGGTCTAGGGTAAATCTCTCTAGATCTTGTCAGACTGGTGTTTTTTCTAATCCCGCTGTTGCTCTAAAGTGTTATATGGCATGTTGAGCTCAGCCGCTCCAACTGTGTTTGTTCAACTCTTAAGGATTGTTGATGTAAATACGATTGTTGGGTTTCAACACTCTTAGTTATTGCCCTTTTTATTCTTCTTGACACTTACCGCAGTAAGATCATAGTTATTGCCCTTTGTATTCTTCTTGACACTTACCACAGTAAGATCATACAGAACTTCATTATTAAATGGCATTTGTGCATTTTCCCTTGTAAATAGGAAAATTATATCTTTTGCTTCAACTTGTGTATGATATATTCATTGATATTAGCCGAACTTAAAAGGAGTGTTGCTACTCTATTTAATATTATGAAAGATGATTATTTAGCACCTGGTGGCCAATCCTCAGGCTGCATGCCGGGCGTTAAATATTGTGTCCCGTCAGGTTTCGAATGTATAAAAACTAAAAATTTTCCATCTTCATTCAACTTAAAGCTACTTTTCCTTCTTGTTTAAAAGGCACATAATTTTAAATTAATTAAATTGATAAAAAAAGAAAGAAACAGTAATATTTCAATAAATCTGTACAATTTATATTTTACACATTTATTTAAAAAATGTATGAATTACCCTAGGTCAGACTATATCTTTTCCTATTCCATACCCTAAAAGAGTGCTACAACTGAGGTATGTGTGCACCATCACTACTGCTCATGTAGACTTTGTGACAGGTGTGTGTGAAAAGTGTAGATGTGTTTTTATCGGGTAATTGTTTTGTCAACATTTATGGGCTTATGAATTGGTTTTTTTTAAATTAGAAAGTGTCAAGCTAAGAATGCTACACATTTCAGTTTGTTGAATAGCTCCAATACCAGGAATATATATTTTTTAAATATGCATATTAAAAGTAAATAAAGAGAATATCTGCATTTGATAGTTGTTTCTGAGAATAATTGAATGATGTGAAACTAAATTCAGGTTTGCGCAAAACTGCATCCTTGCATTTTAAATTCATCAAAACTTGGGGGGGGGGGGGGATCACACCTGGAGGGGGGGGGAAATGTCTTGACACCTACCCCAAACTGAGGCTTGTTAGTCTTTCACCATTGTTTATTTCTGATTTCCCCCGCCCCTCAGATCAAAGTGAGCTCATCTGTCATTTTTCCCCAGTAAATAATTCTAAAGGTGGACACCATTTTAATGTACACATTGACATTTGTTTTTAATCCCTTAATATCTTTGCTATGCACCTTAAACAGAAAAGCAAAGTTTGACTTAAGTAGTGTGCTCAAAGTCAGTTAAAATCTCTCAGTTCTCAACATCAAAACTTTTCAGTTCAAATTCTAAACATAACTTTTCAAGTCATTTCAACATCAAAACCTCACCCACTGACGCTTTCAGTCCTTCTAATCACATCTCACAACTGATCAGTATAGACATATCATTTTTTTTAAAATTATGTTCAGGAACTTTTTTAATCTGAATCCTTTTGTTCATTGCTGATGTCAAAGTAGGTTGGTGTATGAATCAAACAATAGTTGATGTATGAATCAGACAATAATTGGTGTATGAATCAGATAACAGACAATAGTTGGTGTATGAATCAGATAATAGGTGGTGTATGAATCAGACAATAATTGGTGTATGAATCAGATAATAGGTGGTGTATGAATCAGATAATTTGTGGTGTATGAATCAGACAATAGTTGGTGTATGAATCAGGCAATAGTTGGTGTATGAATCAGGCAATAGTTGGTGTATGAATCAGACAATAGGTGGTGTATGAATCAGACAATAGGTGGTGTATGAATCAGACAATAGGTGGTGTATGAATCAGACAATAGTTGAGTGTCATCTTGAGAAGCAAAGCTAAACTTCACATTTTAATGACCTAAGATCTTGAGAAGCAAAGCTAAACTTCACATTTTAATGACCTAAGATCTTGAGAAGCAAAGCTAAACTTCACATTTTAATGACCTAAGATCTTGAGAAGCAAAGCTAAACTTCACATTTTAATGACCTAAGATCTTGAGAAGCAAAGCTAAACTTCACATTTTAATGACCTAAGATCTTGAGAAGCAAAGCTAAACTTCACATTTTAATGACCTAAGATTTTTTTTTAAAATAGTTTAATATTAGGTGGTCATCTAGAAATGACGTCACGATATTTTTGGAACATTCCGCCTCCATCATCACAAATTCATCACAAAATTTAGATCAACTCATAAAAGTTCATCACAAAATTTAGATCAACTCATAAAAGTTCATCACAAAATTTAGATCAACTCATAAAAGCTCATCACAAAATTTAGACCAACTCATAAAAGTTCATCACAAAATTTAGATCAACTCATAAAAGCTCATCACAAAATTTAGACCAACTCAAAAAAGTTCATCACAAAATTTAGACCAACTCATAAAAGCTCATCACAAAATTTAGACCAACTCATAAAAGCTCATCACAAAATTTAGACCAACTCATAAAAGCTCATCACAAAATTTAGACCAACTCAAAAAAGTTCATCACAAAATTTAGACCAACTCATAAATGAGTTTGGCATACCGGTACCCAAAAAACTGACAAGATTGATGATACTACATGTAACATAAACATTAAACAACTCAACAAGCAACATCAAGGTTCAGGAGAATACTCAAGGGCATTTCGGATTAGACGAGGTCAAGGACACGGAGGCTCCCTCATTTAAACCAACATTCGGATTAGACGAGGTCAAGGACACGGAGGCTCCCTCATTTAACCCAACATTCGGATTAGACGAGGTCAAGGACACGGAGGCTCCCTCATTTAACCCAACATTCGGATTAGACGAGGTCAAGGACACGGAGGCTCCCTCATTTAACCCAACATTCGGATTAGACGAGGCCAAGGACACGGAGGCTCCCTCATTTAACCCAACATTCGAGGGGGTTATAAGAAGCAGACATGTTGACACCCGGGGAGGAACAACAAACAGGATACTTTCTGAGGGAGAACCACAGCCAATAGCCACTCTCTACCATCAACCATTACAGTATCTTGTATATGCTGATGACATATAACTGTTAGGGCTGGGGGAGAACCACAGCCAATAGCCACGCTCTACAATCAACCATTACAGTATCTTGTATATGCTGATGACATATAACTGTTAGGGCAAAGTAGTTAAGACATTACGAAAGCTTTTATTGAATTAGAAGGCGCATCACTACAAGCAGGGCTGGAAGTTTACAACCAAAAATAAATTACATGACTAGAAGAACAGATAGACGAAGCCGTTAAAGTTAGAAACAAGGCTTTTGCAAAAGTATATCAATTCAAATACTTATGATATTTTTTCAATGGAAAGAAAAATGAATTATTAACAGTATTAGAAGTAGGTCTACTGGCCGGAAACAGGGCATACTCCAATAGTCAGAGAATACTCAAAAGTTAAAAAAAACATTACAAGAAAAGCCAAGAAAACCTGTCTATACCACATATAAAAATGTAATCAGACCAGTTGTAACATACCAAAGTGAATCTTGGACCGTAACAAAAGCGACAGAAAACCTGTCTATACCACATATAAAAATGTAATCAGACCAGTTGTAACATACCAAAGTGAATCTTGGACCGTAACAAAAGCGACAGAAAACCTGTCTATACCACATATAAAAATGTAATCAGACCAGTTGTAACATACCAAAGTGAATCTTGGACCGTAACAAAAGCAAAGAAAACCTGTCTATACCACATATAAAAATGTAATCAGACCAGTTGTAACATACCAAAGTGAATCTTGGACCGTAACAAAAGCAAAGAAAACCTGTCTATACCACATATAAAAATGTAACCAGACCAGTTGTAACATACCAAAGTGAATCTTGGACCGTAACAAAAGCAAAGAAAACCTGTCTATACCACATATAAAAATGTAACCAGACCAGTTGTAACATACCAAAGTGAATCTTGGACCGTAACAAAAGCGACAGAAAACCTACTAAACACATGGGAGACAAAAGTTAGGGCGCCAAGAACACATATTAAGTGTGCTCAATATCTTGGGGGCGTCCACATGGGGTTTGCCTCTTCGTGGCATGGTGGACTAGTTGGGTGGACGTGTCCACACGAAGCCGAAAACCCTGGCCGACCGCATGACTCCCAACGCAACGGGAGCAGTAACGCAATAAGATGATTACTTGTTGCCGTTAATGGATATGAGGCTTGGGTGGAGGTAAAACCCATGCCGATGATTTTAGCTACGCAGCCGTGAGATAGCTGCTCCTGGGCGACCGTTTCGTCCAAGCTTTTCGTCCCAACTTAAAGAATCCCTGGTCGGGGGGGGGAATGGTTGGTAACGCCACACCATTTCCCCCGGAGTGGAAGCAATCCTGTCCAAACCCTCGTGAGAGTCGGCTGCGAACGCTTTAAACACAGCGTTTTTGGTCGACCGGGCGTCTCCAATGCCGGGGGGGGGGGTGTCCAGGCGTTCCGCCGCACGGTCTGTCGGCGGGGGAGGTTCCAGGCGTGCCGCTGCACGGTCTGTCGGCGGGGAAACCTGGCGTCTGGTCCGTGTGGAGGTGTACGGGGGGGGGGG